AAACTTTTTACTGCAACCCACTTCTTTCAAACGAAATTTAAAATCATTTAAATACTACAATTAAACACAAATTTCAGGCAATATTTCAATATAATATAGCTGGAAAAAAAAAACATTTGGTCTCAATGATAAATATTCTATTAATTACATATGATAATTGTTTATAGAATGATGACTGATTTTGATCTTCTTAGGTTCAATTTTACAAACATTTAACATTTAAATATGTAAAAATGCCGCGAGGGGGGTGGGTAAGTTTTAGATTAAACAAAAAAGCTACATCTTATTAACAGAACACAATGAAAAGGTTTCATCATTGAGCTTCATTTTTTTAATACTTTTTTTGTAGAACTGTAGCATTAAAATCAAAGCATCTAGAGTATCATCTCCTAATCTATTTCTAATTTTTGTGGCAAACAATCCCATCACTGAAAAAGCTCTTTCTGGCTCCACTGATGTTGGTTTAATTGTTAATAAAGCTTTAAATAGTTTTTCAAGATTTGGAGGCTTTGCATGGATAGTTTCAAATAAATTCATCTCTTTCTTTAAAATCGTAAGACCAATTTCACCTACAGGATTAGCTTCATGCGTTTCTCTTGGATGAATGAAGCAAATTCTTCTGATAGAGATTGCTTTTTTTCATTTTTTAATGCTTGATCTGTTCCGATTGTTGCCTCAATTTCAAAATCAACTGGTAGCTCTTCATTAGCTTTCTGAATATAAAGTCTATTCAAAAGTGATGCAGCCAGAGATAAAGTTTTACACCTTTTAATTTTCAGGCCAAACTGATCTTTTTGCTTTTCCAAAAAGTCCAAAGATTTCAGGCAATGTATAAAGTATACAAGATCAGCATTTCTTTGCTCTTGAATTCGAAGTTTAAATTTTTCTAGGAGAGCAAGGCTTATTGATGTCTCTGGATCTTTTAGCTTCTTAGAAGCAAATTCTGTAATTATTTCTGAAAGTAAAAGATCAGCGTCTTCTTTGCTTAAATATTCCACAGTCAATTCAATAGGAGCAAGAGCATTGCATAGTTTTCTTCTTTTCCAATTTTTTATTAGAAACATCAAATTCTCACTAAAGACGGATCATTGCTACTTTAACTTCTTTGCGAACTTTATAAAATTGCCGCAACATTTTAATAAGGCTATTCCATCTGGTTTTGCAATCTAAAAACAAAGTTTTCTTCACTCCATAGGACTGTATATTTGGAGGTTGAAGATTTTCACCATTCCTCACTCGGGACAGTCTGAAAACTTTAATAATTATGAATTTTATTAACAATTGTACCAATATCGGAAACCAAGTTCGCCTCACTGTTTGATTCATCATATTCCGCATCTGTTTCATCATAATCAGATTCATCTTCAGTTACATTATCAACTATTCATGTAATGACAATTTCTAACCGATGTGGATTTGTCAAAACTGGTAGAAAAACAACCTCCTTCTTCATGAATTTTTTTAATTCTTTCTTCAATAACAAGGATATTTTTGGCGTACTCTTTCATACATTGATCACTGACATTTTGTAGACTTTTTGGCAAAGTTTTGTGGCGTAACCATCTGATTTAAATGCTCTTTTAAGCAGAATATTTGCAATTTGGTTAAAGCTTAGGCCATCGACTGCCACCAATTTGCTTATGACTTCAGTTTCTGAATCTTTCTTAAAGAAAGTATCAATACGAGAAACCTTTGGTCTTGATTGATTTTCTAGAGACTGATCTTTCTCGTTACTAAATTTAACAGCAAGAATCTTGTGCTTTTCTTGAAGGTGGTAAATTAAGCTTTTTTGTTTTAAATGTTTTTAAAACTGATGAACAAATTTTTTTTTGTGCAATTCTCTTTTTTGATGTACAAAAAAAATTCCCTAACATGCGATTTTCGTTTGAGAACTGACATCTTCAAAGTCAGAAAAAATAAAATAAATTTTTCTATTTATTTTATTTTTTCTGTTAAATTTAACAATGTTTCATAACTGCATGACAAACAGTAATTATATTTTAAATAATGTTTATGTAATACTAGTTATATATTTTTTAAACAATAATAATATTAATAATAAATAAATTCAAACATGTTTAACTATGAATGCCTGATAATTTCTATACGTGCTGAAAATCTTTATTTTTGTTTGTTTTCAAGTATATTATTTTAATTTGTTTACAGTATATTAACTGATACGGACTACGCTGGAAATATAAACATATGTCATAAAGGTGGATTTACATTATGAAACTTTTTTATTTCATTTAAAGTCAAACAACATTTTTGATAAATTATAAGGACTTAATTAAATTGTCCCAAATTACCCAGGTAATTTGGAAAAAATTACCTGGGTAATGTGTAACAAAAAATGAGCTTATTAACCGGGTAACGGGTAAGGTAATACCTGGTTAAGAAACACTAGTGTAAAGATAGTAATGTGAAAATTGTTTCTAAAGATGCGAATTGTTCAAATCGTTCTGAAGAGCACAAAATTGAAGATTTTTGGGGAATAGTTAAAGAGGTTCTTCATAAGGCAGGTGGAGTAACAAAAAATAGAAAAGACTTCCAAAAAAAGTGGAATAATGTTACCAAATTAGGTGAAAAAAGAAAAAATCTGCAAAATGATGGCATCGATCCACTATAAAATTTAATCTCTTGTCAAACAGCCCATCAAGCCCCTTAAAATTAATTTGAAACCCTAATTGATGTTAACAAATTTGATATAAATAAAATTAAAATAAAAAGCATCTATGGTTTTAGAGAAAGTTCAATTTAAAATTGACCGGATTTTTTCGTGTCCACCCGATGTGTAAATGGTTGCTAAAAATGGACACCCCTGATTTTGATACTTATTAAGAATTGAATATTTATTATATTTATATATTTCTTTGGCTTTTTTTGTCTTGTTTCACTTTTCAAGACCACAAAAATTTATATTTGTAAATGGTTGCTAAAAGTGGGTGTAACGGACACCCCTGAATTTATCATTTATTAAAGATGCATAATATATATAATTCTTTGGCTTCCCAGCTTTAATTCACTTCTCAAAATAAATAAATTTTGTATATGCAAATGGTTACTAAAAAGGGTATATCTAAACAGATACACATCATATACACACACGCTAACATATACAGACATAAATACATCAGTGCATGTGTGTATGTGTGTGTGTGTATTTTAATACATTATATGTTATAGCATTTACAATTATATTTTATTTTATATTTCACAAATTCAAAAGTAGTAGTTCCACCTTTCTACTTTTCATTTAGAAATTCTTAAGAAATACAAAAGAAACAAACAATTGAATTCACTAATTAAATTATAAATTTAGATTCATTATATAAATATAAATTTATATCTCACTTATATAAACTATCGCATATAGCAAATATCTGAATCAGAATTATACAGCATCATGATGTCATATAGATGTTGTATTATTGTGTTAATATTGATATAACTTATGTTTAAAATTTTGGGTTTATCTACTTTATTACACAAGTTACAATAGTCATAATAACACACATATAAATTGCTGTGTACAACATGTTACTGTGTGTCTCTAACACTTATGGTGTGACTACTTGCACATATAGTGTTAACAAATTTACAGTAACACAATAGATTTTTACAGCAAACAGAAATTTGTGAAAATATTTTTATTACAAGTAAATATATATTCAAAACAGAAAAATCTTACAAAAATAAAATCATAAAACCATACATATAATCAAAAATCATAAATCTCAAAAAAGAAGAGGTCAAGAATTTGTGCAAAATGTGATAAATTATGCAAAGTGAAAACACTGGGTAGAACTGTTACTTTTAGACTTAAACAATCAATAAAAAATAAATAAATACATAGTAGCAAAGTTACCATACCAATGATCAACCATACAGTATTGAAGATTTTTTCTGCAACTATCATCTTGGATTTAATGTTACAATTTCAAATTTTTTTTTTTTTTTTTTTTTTTTTTTTTTTTTTTGAATTTCAAATTGTAATAAAGAAATAGTAATTGTGGCATTTTTTTTTTTTTTAATTTTTTATATCTTTAGTTGGCGCCAGGGGGTTGTTTTTTATTTAAAAAGCATGTTTTCTACCATTTTTTACAAAACAAAAATAGCAAATTCTATGCATATACTAGATTTGTAATAAAGTTAAAATATTACGCAGTTACTCAGTTAAATATGTTTACAACTTTTATGAATTTTGTGAAACTTTTATTTTTGTATCTTCAATTGCTGCTTGAGGGCTGGGTTTTAACAAAAAAACACTGTTTGTGAGTTTTTGCCAAATAAGCTCTGCAGTCCATAACATAAAATCAAAGTTTGAATAGAGAGGAGAAGTTTCTCTTTATTAAAGCTTTTTTTATTTCTATTTATTTTATTAATAAGCTGCTATTTCTTTGATTTTTTTACATGGATCAAGCTATTAAAACCTAAGTAATTTTATTGTAGTACATTTCAAGAAAACACAGTTTTCTTCATTGCACCAAAGACAATACCATCAGCTATATGCTGATGATATTGTCATGTGCACACAAGCAAAGACCACCTACTTGATCCATCAAATCGATCAAGTTGGTGACCTTAGACAAGATTATTTCTCTATTATCTCCTGATAATATGTCATATTATCTACTATATATCAACATGTGTGTCAATTACATAAATACGATAGTGGTGTAGTGGTAACACACACGTTCCATGATCAATTTATTTTTCCGCTTAATGTATTTGTTCCTTAGAGCCTGTGTTTTTGAGTTAAAGGATTGTAACATTTTTTCAAAGTTTAAAACAAATAAAAAATGAGTTCCCTCCTTAACTGTAGTAGCCCTTATAGTTCTGGGAGGTAAATACAATAAAAAATACTTCCGAGTAAAGAAGTGTTATTTAAAGTGCTTTATACTGGAGAAACAATGGTTAACTTTGAAACTTTACAACTTGAATTTTATATCAACTTCAATTAATCCTTCCACTAATTGCATATTGTTTTTATTTTTTAGTGTTTTCAATGCTCTGTTATACTGTCACAAAGAGACCTAAGAAGAATAATATATTATCTAGAAGAGTGGACCTCAAAGCCAGATGCTTCGATTGAAATTTATGCCTTGACCAGAAAAATGTATCCTCGTCCTGCAGATTACTGGTGTATTAAATGTTCCAAAATACCAAGTAATCCAATACCTTCAATGAGGTCAATGTTTTAATTTTTTTTTAAATAAATATTGACTATTTTTTCCAATTTTAAAATCATTTCTTTCTTATAGGTCATCAAGCAGTACACCACACGCAAGTAGTTTAACCAGAGAGTTAAATATTAGTCCAAGTAGCTTAAATGGTAGTTTTTTATTTACTTACATAAAAAACCAATATTATGTTTATTTTTATATATATTTTTTTTAATTCTATACTATTTAGATGATTTTGAATCTGTTGAAAACGATGAGATGGATGTAGATTATTATCAAAAACCTATCAAAAAGTTGTTACCAAATTTAACGGTATTTTTTTTTTTTTTTAAAGAATTTTTTTGTTGTTGTTATGAGTCAGCAATAAAATTTTGTTATTATAAATATAATAGCAATAAAATATAAGAACTAATAATAAACATAAGAAATTTATTTCCAAAAAGTTGCAAGCAACCTCAAACTATACTAAGAGTTATAAAAATAGCTGGTGTCAGTTACAGAGAAAGAGTATAAAGCGTTTTCATTTTTATTATTAGAGTGGGGGCTAGTTAACTTGACATATTTAAAGGCTTAAAAGTTTAAGATGAGGTATTTAAAATGTCAAAAAATGTTATTTTTTTATAGATAGAAATTTATGAGAATAAAAAAAATTAATTACTGGAAGTATCCCTAGACAATATTAAATATAATAAATAAACACATTAAAATAGTAGACACAGAGACAACAAGACTAATATTCATATTTTCATCTTTAAAGTTCTCATTTCTCTCGTACCTAAACTTTTTTTATAATACCACTGTAAGACATGTTTTTGTTTTTAGTTAATCAACTTTTTTTGCCACTTTTTTTTTAATTAAACATTTTAGCAACATTAATCATTACCAATAAAAAAAGTTTATAGAAAATTTTAAAAGTTTATTGCTCATTAAACAAAATATAAAAGTTCATTAGTAAAAAGTTTTTATAGTTTATATATTTTAAAGTTATAGTTAAATTAAATATATTTTCTATTTTTCTATTATTAAATATATTGTTATATTGTTAATTACATAGTTATTATTAAAATATTAAAAATTATTATATATTTATTGTTACAGTTATATTTTAAGTTTAAAGTTATAAAGTAAAAATAAATTCAAAAAATATTATAATTGCAGGTTTTTAATAGCTGGTTTTTAATAATTTCGTAAACACTGATACCAAAAAACAATTTTTAAAAGTTGTAAACATACATTTCTTATTAATTTTTTAATAAGTTTTTGTACATATTTTAATAGTTGTAAACGAATACTTTTGTATGTATAAAATAACTACATTTGTATGTATAAAATAATTACATTCGTATGTATATTATATTGTTTATTATAGAGTGCTTCACAAAAATATAAATGCACATAAAAAGTCAGCAATTAATAATAGTAGTAGTGGTATATATTTTTTACAACAAAAGTAATAATTAATACAATACAAAATTTAAAGTCAAATTATCGACAGCTTTTGTGAAGCTCATAATGCAACTTTCACTATAAAGAGTTGTGAGCTGTTGCAATGTTGGAGCCTATCAAGGCTTGCTTTGAAGCTGTTGACAGATGGAGAGTAGATTATATGGTCTAGATTGTTGCTGTATTTTTCCGGTGGAGTTCTCTGTGATTTACTCTTGGTGAAATTATAATGAGGGGAATTAAGGTATTACAGAAGCGTGCCAATTAAATATGTCAATGTTGCACTCAATTGTTAACTTTTGAATGAGTTCACTTTGTTGCTCTATATTTAATAGGCCAGGTGAATAAAAAAAAGCAATTGCTTTTACTCAGTAATTGGTCAGCTTTACATAAATAAAAACTAAAGGAAATTTTCTAAAATTTTATTCACATTAAGCTGACCAATTATGAGTAAGTTGCTTAATTTTACGTGAATAAAAATTTCTGCAAAACTCCTGAAGTTCATGTAAAATTCACGTAAAACTGACCAATTACTGAGTAAAAGCAATTGCTTTTTTTTATTCACCCAGCCTAATTATAGTTATCAGGCTCAGAGTTGTTTCCAATGTTTTTGAGGTCATCTATATTTAGATTTAGTGTTTCTATCGTTGAGTACTCATAGTTTTTGGCTAAGGATTTGTCCAAAAATTATGTCACAGTTTTTGACATTTTTGACACCCTCATTACGCAACAATTTTGTACCCCTCCACCTCTTAAAAAAAAATTTAATATTTTTTTAGGAAAGGTTGGGGGGGAGAAAATACAAAATGATTTTAAATATAACAATAACTATAATTTTCTGAACTTCTTTGACTTAATTAATTGGTGCTTTTCAGTCTGTCTGATGGTTTTTTTTTTTTCATCCCAATAGTTCTGTGTAAAATTGTATAAATTAAAATTGCTATCCTGAACATGATACCAATTTTTAAAATCTATTTTTCTGATATTATAATACATGCAAAGTATCATATATAATGTATAATAATACAATATAATATATTATAAATGCAGAAATGTTATTTTATAAATATAATTTTCTAATTATTTGTAACATCAGCGTGGTCTAGTGGATTCCGCCTTGGGCTAGTAAACCGAGGGTTTCAGGTCGGCCTCTCGGTCTTGGTAGTTTTTTTTTTAGTTAGTGCACAAAGGTTGTTTTTTTGTTGCTGCACACTTTTTTGCACTAAATAAAGTTCTTACTGTAAAAAGTCAAAGCGAAGAACATGCACTGCTCATAGACTGTTACACCCGTAACAGTCCATTAACAGGCTAGGCTGTAACTACTCCGTTTATTGAGTGTACATATTAACTAAGTATAATTTAGGCGTAGTTTTTTACAATCAACATGTAGATACATCAACTGAGGGTTTTGGCTGGGTCAGATACTCTCTAAATTTAAAACTAAAAAAAAAAATGTTGCGTCACAAAATCGAGACCTCCCCTCGCACAAAATCGCCTACCCCTCTTCTTTCACACACCCCTCCCTTCCTCCCTATAGCGTGACGTTATTTATGGGTGACCCCTAAAGTGCATGACTTAACATTTCATTTTTTATAATTTTAAGTAATACTGCTTTATTTTAATAAAAGAAACTCTTTTTTATTATTATTATCATTATTATTAGTTTACACATTGAGGAATTAAAATTTAATAATAGGCTAATAAAAAATAAAGTGAAAAATATGAAATGATAGAAAAATGAAATTTATTAAAGTAGTATACTTTATTTTTTAGTTTGCATGCAGTAGTGATTGCAATGTTCATTTGTTACCAAAATTATTTGACAAAATTATGAAGAGTGGAAAATCAAATGATCGATCAGTTGTTGAAGCTATCTTTCTTGGGATATCATCGTGTGAAAACAATCAATATGACTTATTTCAAACCGTTTCTAACAACTTAATAAATGATCGTTTAGATGATTCTGTTTTAAAGACAGTGGGTCAAGTCGGTGTTCGATTGATAAAGAATTTATTACACCTTTCAAAATTTCAGGAAGCATATTATGTTCTTCTTTTTCTTGATCAAAAATGTATACCCTACATCAAATGTGGAAAAGCATTTGGAGTTCAGATTTATACATCAACAGACTTGAGCGAATGTGATGTACTTCTGATGTGTTGTAAAGTTTGTACTGAATGCAATGATTTCGAAAGCGCTTATAACTTATTTGAACAAAATGTGATGAGTAATAATATTTATATATCAGAACCAGAATATAATGAAATAAACGAAACAGCAAGCTCTATAATTAATGGTTTATGTAAAGAAAATTTTTTAGAGTTGTCCTGGCAGTTTCATAATGAGTTAGTTACTTCCTCTTATTCTTTATCTTCATCAATTCAAGAGAAGGTTTTAAATGATATGTGTGCAAAGTGCTTTTTAAAAAATGCTTCTTTTTCTGAAGAAGTATATGCATATATGCAAACTAATAACCTAGATGTTTATTCCATAACAACTAGAACGTATTTAGAATATCTAATGAATAATAATAAAGAAAATCTTGCCCAAGAAATATTTGAGAAATGTTTAAAAGGAGGGTTTTACAAAATAAATAATGATCCATTTTGCTTAGAAATAAGCTGTGACTTTTTTAAAGGAGAAATTAGTTTGTTTGTTAAACACCATTTTAAAAAACTTGCTTTAAATACATCTCAGCTTGGAACTCTTAAATTACTATGTGTACCTTCAGAAAAAAAAGACTTATTTAATATTAACAAATTTCAATCGGATTGCAAGTTAAACATTTTACAGATTCTTAATGACTTTAGTCCGCAGTTAGATATAAAAGATTCAAATGAGGTATGATTTTTAAAAAGATTTAAATGAGGTGTGATTTTTCATATTGCTTATCTCAATTTCTTTTTATTACAGTTTTTTAAATCTTTATTAAATTTACTATATAGTATACATTACTATATTTTTTATGTATTATATAGATTGTACTTTTATACTATTAATAGATTGTAATTATATATTAATAATAATAATAACAATAGTATATTCATGGCAAGTCATGTCGTGGTGAAGACAAGTTATCTAAGAGAAGAAAAATCTGTCATAATCCCACAACTCAATTTAGTAAGAGCTCATAAACCTTGAATGGTAATCTTCCTAGTTATGGTATCACAATAAAAAACTAGGTTAACACCAGAAAGAACATCGGAAATCCTAACTTTCCCTTTATGAAATGTTTAAAAAACAAAAAAATTTAACTCCCACTTTGAAATATTCAATAAATTCAAGTATTTTAAAAATATTTAATTAAGTCTACTTTTTCTTTGAAGTATTTAAATAATAAAATATTTAAATACTATTTATAAAAATCGAAACAAAGAGAGAAAGAAAAAAAAGAAAAATATCAGTTAAACAATTTTACTTGCTTTGTATTAATTTTTATAATATTTTAGGTTTTTCGGTTTTGTTTTTCAAATTGAAAAAAAATCAAGTAGTTTAATCCGGTTTCACTACTTACTTGCCACATTTAATTTATTTTTTATTTTTAGTATGTTGAAATTTCAATTGTGAGCATACGTCGTTGGTATCAAAGCCAACTGCGGTTTCAGAAGGCGCTTTGTCCTTTAACTACTAGTAAACAAAGATTTGTTGATATGCCTACATCTGAAAAAGTTTCTTTCATAGAAGATGGGAAACCGAATATGAAAATGACTATTTGTCCAACTCCACAATATGGCGTCACTTCTGATGCCAAAATGAATGATGCCAACGAACTTACAATGAAGTTAATTAATTCAGAGATACAAAAGCAATGTACGAAGTTGATGGACGTACAATTGCTTCCACGTGAAGTATTAATACATTTTGATTATACTTTCTTTTTTCTTTTTTTTTCCTTTTTTTTTTTTTTTTTTTTCCTTTTTTTAAAAAAAATAAAGAAAACTCTTTTTAAAAAGCTGTCGAATTTTAAACAAAAAATTTATTTTTTAGAATTACATAAACGTATCCAGAATCCTCTATCGGGATTTTATAGATTTGTTGAAAGAAGAAGGAACTTTGTTTTACAATGAAGAAATGGCTAACCGAATCATATCTTATGTAAACAATAATTTTAACAAATAATGGAATTCGATTTTGTCAAGGTCATTGTGTCATATGACTCTACGGCTGATTCTACGGCTTTATGCATTCTTCGGTTATATTTTATAGGGATCAAAGTCTTTATAAGTAGAATTGTATTTTATTTATTTGTTTTGTTTAATATTTTCATTATTTTTTAATGTTTCTTTATATTTTCCCTTTAAATAGTTTATTTGTTTGTAAATATCACCGCTAATTTTAGGGTGTATAATGTAATGTAATTTTGATCAAAATTAACAGGGCAATTCCACGCAAGTGGCGGTCGTAACATTTGACACTCTTTTAGCTATTAAAAGTCAAATAAGAATAATATTGATTTGAAATTTGCAGAAATGTTAAATACTATAATAAAATTTAGTATACAAAATTTAAAGTATTCAAATCTTCAACTTATTTGAAAAATCGTCTCAACATATCGTGACGGTCGTAACGCTTACTTTTTGACAATTCTAAACAAATAGACTTTGACAATCTTTATGCAGTCATTTTGACGCAGTTAAAAAAAAATCCTTTGCTGTGTGCATTCACTGCATATTATTCTTGCTATATGCCAAGTTTCATAGTTTTTGCTTGATGTTTTACAAGAATTTTATTAAGTTTTTTGTCGTGACGGTCGTAACGAAAATGCCAAAAGTGAAAAACAACCGAATGCATGGCGCATTTATTGAATTCATTGCATGGCGCAATGAATGGCGTAAAAAAGATTAGTGATTATAAAAACCAATTAAGTTATGTTAAAATATGCACTTTATAACATTATCACTGGGATCATATTACATTTATACTGGGTATAATGATCCGGGTATAACGATGACTGGGTGTGATAATGATGACTGGGCAGGGGCGAATCTAGCATTTTTAAAGGGTGATGCGAAATTTTTTTCAATAGAACCCCCCTCCCCCGCCCTCCTTCTCCTTAACATCCCTAGGGTTTAAGTATAGTCAATTTCAAAAGTGGAGGGACAGAAAAAGGTGTAGCAAGTGTGGGGCGGACATGCCCCGGACATTAAATAATAACTAAGTCATTAAATATCATTAAATTAATGTCATTAATAATTTGTCATTAATAATGTCATTAATAAATAAATGTCATTAAACTAATGTCATTAAATAATAACTAAATTTGTATTGCTTTTGTAGTATCTACTTTTTATTGAAATTTTTAAATGTTGCCTTGGCTATTTCGTTCATAAATTAGACATGTTTTTTCAAGTCTAATTTACTTAAGTGCACCAACGAGAAGGTAAGCCATTGGACTTCGCACTTTATCTGTGTACTATTATTTTGCCAAAGGTTAGCCCTCCATTTCTGGATTCTTTCCTTTTCTTGAGAGGCGCGTAATGTGAAGTAATGTTGCCTTAGGTTAGCCCTCCATTTCTGGATTCTTACCTTTTCTTGATAAGCACGTAATGTAAAGTAATATCAAGTTAATTAATATTATAATTATAAAGGTTAGCCCTCCATTTCTAGTTTTTATGTAAAGCATTAGTAATCTTATTTAAGGTTAACTCCATTTTGGGATTCTTTTTTTTTTTTTTTTTTTGATAGGAATTTTTTATTTATTTATTAATTGTTATTATACTTTATTATTGAAGATCAATTAATATAAAATAAATATAGGCTAACAGTCTTTCTCTCTCTCTCTCTCTCTCTCTCTCTCTCTACATATATATACATATATATATATATATATATATATATATATATATATATATATATATATATATATATATATATATATATATATATATATATATATATATATATATATATATATATATATAACTGAAATACATCTTTCACATTCACAAGTTGTTATTGGAATTGTTCCTAATATATAAATAAACGCTTTTTTTATATTTGGAAAACTTCTCATGTCAATGGCCTTTAAAATACTAGCAACAGTTTAAGGAATATTTGACTGGTTTTTCAAAAATAATTCCCATAAATCTAAGTCAGCAAGGAAGTCATTCATTGAAGTAAAATGAGGCATGTTCAGATAAAGAGAAATTTAAAAATTCATAAAATTCAGATTTCCATGGTTTCTTAACTTGTATTCTGGACAGTAAAGTTGAAGGAACTGCTGCTAGAAACCTATTATCTAGCTCATTAATAAGATGTTCAATTGATGGAGAAATAATGCTATGTTTAAAATAGTAACTAACTGTATTTGTGGATAATTATACTGGTAAACCTGAAAAGTACGTAATCTAGGTTTCACTTCTTGGATATCAAGACTAAAACCAAAAGCCAAACTAAAAGCAATAGCTACTACAACTAAACTAAGTCTATGGCTTATACAATGAACAAAAAAAGCATTATGATTTAGAGCTTTCAATAAAAAAACAACTCCTTTATATTTACCTCCAATAAGTCCTGTACCATCATACCCTTGGCCTCTACAACTTTGAATATCAGGTTCAAAAAGTTTCTTGAAGTGCATTAAGTAATTTTAGTAAATTTAGAGTTAGACTAAGACCAGATGTACCAGTCTTGCAATCAATAAATGTTAGAAAATCCTCATTATTTGAATTTACATATCTTAAAAAAAGTGACATTTGTTCAGTATTTAAACAGTCAACTGCTTCATTACAAAGAATTTAAAAAAAAAAATTGAAATGCTTAACATTTATTACTAAATCTACCTCAACTATTTTCCCACAAGAATCAATAAGTTGGTTTCGGGTATTTTTTATAAAGGTTCTTGATATAAAGGTCTTTGATAATAAGGTACTTGCAATGGTCTTTGATAAAAAGGTTTTGATATAAAGGTCTTTGATAAAAAGATTTTTATACAGGTCTTTGATATAAAGGTTGCATTTTTTGGACTTGAAAAAAGATGATTAGCTAATATTTGATCACCAGCATTACGCAAATTTTTAAAAGCTGAAGAAGTTACCTCTTCCAACCAAGAAATATTATTTTTTTAATTATTGGAACAAATTTTTTTTAGTTATCAGATAAAACGAGAATTAAATCAACCTCAATAACATTACTTTTGTAGTTGCAACATGAACATAATGCATTGTAAAACACAACTTTTTTCATGTTTTTTAAAATCATGAACAACATTACCCCATTCTTGATGAGGCTTGAAAACTAAATTTAGTATTCCAGACTTGTTTGGAATACTAGCACATAGCAAAATATAAAGGAAAACAGTAAGCTCGATCTTCATTGCTAGAACAAGCTAACCAAAAATAGTGGCTGAGTCATTCAATTTTAAATTATCTTTTTGTACTGTCTATTAAATATCTACTAAACAGATATTGGAAAAACAAATATAGAATTAGGATGAAATACTTTGTTTACTATATCTAACAAAATTGCATCGTCTTTGCCAGCTGTTAAAAGTTTACCATGGGTTAGATATGCTGAAACATCATATAAAGTATTTGAGTCTTTATTTAAAGGAATATTAACTGAATTGGAATCTAATCACTTAAATATTTTAGAATCAACAGAAAGTTCAAAAGGCAACTCTATAAAAGCATTGTCTTTTTTGAAGTTAGTTTTAGATTGGATTTTGACATGTTTTGCAGAATTAACTTCTTTGTAGAAAGAAATATAGAATTGTTTTTTATTTGTTTCATTTTTAGGACTAATAAAGTGTAAAGGATAAGTAGAAATAAAAAAAAGTATATAACAAGATCAGTTTATATTATTTTCTAGCTGGAAATATATAACACCATTAACTTTAGTAATAGGGTTTACCTTAAAGCAACATAATCTTTACTACCTTCTGGCTTTCGGATAAAACAATCCATATGAGAATTTTCAAGACTGATTATAATATAATCAGTCTTGAAAATTCTGAAATAAATTATAATTTAATTGCCATATAATTTATATGGCTGCACTGGACACTGTTATTTAAAATTTTTAACTCTTTAGTTAACTGATTTTTACATTTGCGAACATTTTGCAAACACCTAGCTTTGATTGCATTTGAAACTAAAAAATTCTTCTTTCTTTCAAAACTTTAATTTACAAGCAAAGTCCTACGACAAAAGTTACGAGCGAAGTACGTATATCAGATAACGAACCTCGTGTGGCATATCAGAATTTTGCAAATTTTGAACAATTTGGAACAACTGATGCAATTGTTCTAAACTTTCTACAAAATTGATTGTTTAATAAAAACATTCTCCAATCATATTTGAAACATTTTTGGATTTTTTTGCGGAAGGTTTGTAGCAACTGATGCAATTGTTATTTTAATAGTAATTGGTTTAAACTGTTTTTTAACCAATTTTTTATGATTTAGAGAACAAATGCATCACTTGCTACAAAGTGGTTGGAAAAATTTGAAAAAATGTACAAATACGATTAGTTAAAGCCTAAAATTTTTCTTTAACCAATCACATTTGTATTTGGTGAAGAACAGTTGCATCAGTTGCTCCAAAACGAATGAAATTTTGTCTAAGTAACGAATAAGTAATTATAGTCAATCAAATCGAGTTTAGATGTAATAATTTTTTTTAAGTTTAAAACAAATTCTATATTTTTTGAGAATATCAGATTCTAATTTCTACTTTAACTTTTTATTATGAAAAAAAAGTGAAAAAGAGATACCCTTAAATTTATCGATTAAGCAACAAATGCTTAATGCTCTTTTATTCTCCTGCTTGAAACATAGGTTAAATAAATAATTATATTAGACAAGTAAATTTCTTTAGCTAAGTATATTCGTTTTAAAAAAACCCATTAAAAAAATATTATAAAATTTTAAAACTAAATATTTTCCATTTTTTATTTGCCAGAAATGCATTTTGGTAATATTTTTAACGGCTTTTGCTTCTTCTATTTCGTTAGCTATTAAGGCCAACTTTAGATTAATATCATCAGTGTTGATAAGCCTAACATAAGTTTTGCACCCCTTTGATGCTATGAGGAAGTCTTTAGTGTTTAAGACGACAAATTTCCGAGATTTTACGCTATTCCAAACATATCGCTTCAAGGATCCTCCTACTCCATCAACTGCTCCTTTACCGTAAGAGGTAGCAAAGAAATTTCATTCTATATTCTGAAAATGATATTTGACAGTGCAATGTTGTATGAATTTGGCCATATATCTATTTTTGAATTGAGTGCAAGGAACATCACTCTATAATACAACTTTTTTTATATAATCTATTTA